AATATACTATATTTTAGTTTAAAAAAATTAATTTAAGTTTTGATAAAAGATAAATTATACATACATAATTGTGTTATATTTCAGTTTTAAAAACTTAATTAATTTTAATTTTAGAAAAGGATAAATTATATATATAATTATATTATTATATTTCAATCAAAAAAAAAAATCTTAATTAATTAAAACTTTGGAAAAAAATAAATTATATATAAAATATATATATTGCCAATCCCTAAAGTGTGAAAATTACAACAATTGTTGTTTTAGCTTAATCAAAAAGAAAGCTCCAAAAAAAAAAGAAAATTGGAAATCATTCTTTCAATTGATGTTCCATCTCAAAAAATGTTCTTTTAGCTTTCACTGCTTTTCCTATCACAATAATTTCATTTGCATATATATTATCTTTTAACAATAAGGAGAAAAAGAGTTTTAAAGGGCGCTTTTTTACCATTTGGTTAAACGAGCGTTTGAATTTTATTCAATTTTTCAATTTAAACTTACGAAAAATTTCACATTTCCCTCTTTTCTAATTGCATTTTTCAACAACAAAATTTATCATCTTCTCTTAACTTTTTTTCTTTTTATCCCCTCTCTCTCTCTCCCTCTTCCGTTCTCTTTTCATCTTCTCTCATTCTTTTCTTTACCCTTTGTTTTATAATTTTCAAACTTTTTTCAAACATTATTGAAATTCTTTTCAAAAAATTTTTTTCCTTTTTCATCTTTCACTTTCTTGTTTTTGATTGATGAATTTAATTAGCCATTCCTAATTAATGTGATTGAAATACAATGTTAGCAAGCAATATTAGCATAATGTTTATGTTTTCAAAAAAAGAAAACAATTTATGAAATCTTTTTCTAAAAAAAGTTTTTTCGGTAAATTTAATTAATTAGTTTGAAAATTTTAAATAATGAAATTTTTTCTTTTCTTCAAATGTTGCAATTGTTGTTTTGTAATGAAAAATTTTTTATTAAAGAATTTAATCAAATTTAACTTTTATTAAATTTAAGTTTATATTTTGATAATATGAAAGAATGGATTAATTATTTTCATAAATTTAGAAATTCCATTTTAACAAATTTAAAAAATTGAAATTACTTAAAATCAAATTACTTTATTAAATTAAATTTTATAACAAAAAATTATTTTGATAATGTAAAAGAATGGATTAATGTTTTGGTAAATTTAGAAATTTTATTTTTACAAATTTAAACTACAAAATATACATCATATAAGCAATTAATATTTACATCTTTTAATGATATTAATTATATCAATTTATGATATGCCGAAATAGTTTATTAGCTTTTTCTTTTCTTTTTATTTTTTTCAATCATTTCATTTTATTTGATTATTTGAAAGAGCAATTAATAATTGAAATAATAATTAGTAAGAACGATTAATTCAATTCATTCTGCTTCTTTTATTTCTACCGTATCAAAAATTTATCTTTCAACTAAAACATCTTCTTTCATATTTTCAACTATTGAAAGTACTTGAAAAGTATTTTTAATAATTTAATGAAATTTTTTTTTTAGGAATTTATTTATTAAGATTCTGATGATTATTAAAAATTTTATTCATTAAAGATTTTTGAGCTTTAATTTAAAAATATATCAATTTTAAAAATAATTTCGTTTTTCAGCTTTATTTTAAAAAAAGGTACCTGAAACGTTTTTTGTGCTACCTGAATTGAAATATCAAAAAGATTATAGAAAATCATCTTTGGTATACCAATTTTGGTATTCCAATTTTTAAAATCTTTTTGGTATTCCAAAAATAAATAATTTTTCTTTCATTTATATGTCTTTGTTTTACATTAATATAATTACAATTCTCTTAAAGTTTAATTTGACAATTTTTAAATATTTGACAAAAAAGTTAAATTATAAAAAAAAATTCAAAAAGAGAAAAGAAAATTATTTTTCAGGGTATTTCAGCTTCAGCTAAATTAGTTGGCTTAACACATTATCAATTACTAAATGGTTGTTATGCTGCTATACAAGCAATTGGTTTCAACGATACTGTTAGTTAGTTGCTTTAATTAATTTTAAAACAAAGAAATTTTTATGTTAAATTCAATATAATTTTTAAAATATTATAATAGTTAATATTAATTTTATTTCTTCTCTTTCCTTTTGTTTTAACATATTTAAAATTTAATTATAACATTTATGTATTCTTTTGTTTCGTTGAAAATTTTTATTCAAAATATTCTTTTGTATTTTCTATCTTTATTTTATTCATAAGTTTATTTATTCAAAGTTTTAATTATTCAAAAAAGGAATTTACCCATTCTTAATTATCGTAACTTTTTTTTAGAGTTGTATATGTTGCGCTTTGCCATTATTTAAAATGCCAATATTATCACTTATCGGATTGGTACCATTTATTGCAAATACACGAGTGATATATCCATCACCATCACCACTTCCGAAATTTCTCTTTGAATCTATTAAAAAATTTCAGTAAATTTTAGAATATTAAATTTGCACTTATTTTGAACCTTTAATTAAATTAATTAACTAATTAATTAATAATATTTTATATTATTGAAATGATTCTATTAAAAAATTTTAGTAAATTTTAAAATATTAGATTTTTACTTATTTTAAACTTTTTAACTTAATTAATTAACCAGTTAATTGATAATAATTTCATATTTGAAATGCATATTGTTTTTTATAAATTAATGTTTTCCTTTTTTCTTTTCTATTCCTCTTCATATTTTAATATACTATTATTCAATTACTTTTTTTCTTTCTTTAATTTCTTCAATTCAAAATTAAAACTTTTTTCATAATTTAAATTTGATGTTTTTTCATATTTCATATTCAGCCATTTTAATTTAGCATAATTTAATTACTTCCATTTTAGTATTTAATAATAATTCATTATAGATGTACTCATTTAGTGTCTAATGCGGTTGCATTAGGCTTAATTTTACGCGTAGCACAAATTCAAAATGTTCATTTACCATCAATTGAAAATATTATTTTACTTGGTGAACGAGTACCATCTGATGTTGTCAACAATATTTTCAAACAATTTGAAACTGTTAAAAAAGTTATGGTATGTGTAATAAATAATATAAAATGAAAAATTATGAACAAATGATTTAATTAAAATATTAATCAATATTTTTTCATGTTTTTAAATATAATAAAAATAGGAAATTAAATAATACAAATGATAAGATGATAAAATATAAAATTGGTTTTATTTATTTATCCTTTAAATTAATTATCTAAAATTTTAGAATGGTTATATATTAACCGAAGTTGCATCAATACCAATTCTCACCTGGGATGCAGCAAATACAAATGGTGTTGGTAAACCATTAGATGAATTTGATGTAAATTTTTTTCCCTTAAAATCTTTATAATTATAATTTTTATTTAGAAATTTTTAATCCTAAAATTTTTCGATTATGAATCACCGTATGAAGAGGAATGGCTTGAATGACTGCTGTAATTAAAATTTTGTTTAGAAGAAATAATTTAATTGTTTGTTTTCTTTTTGTACCAATTTGTATGATGAAATTTGATTTTTAGGATAAATTATCTGATCAAAATTTTGTTTTCTTTTTTGTTATTGAAAATTTTGGAAATTTTTGAACTGTAACAATACGGTATAATTATAAATTAATTATAAATTAAAATTAATATGATAAATTTGAGATAAGGAGAAGAAATAAGTAGAAGGTTGAAATTTTGATGACTTAATCGATTGAATTAAATCTTAATTTAAAAATGTTTTAAATTTATTAAAGCTAATTAATTAATTTTTTTACTTTATGTTTATCACTATCATTTAGGTAGATATTCGTAATCTTGGAATTCAGGCAAATTTAAAAGGTAATAACAATCAATCAGGTGAATTATACATTAAAGCAATTAAAGGATCAAAATTTCTCGGTTATGAATCACCATATGAAGGAGTAGAGGAATGGATTGAAACAGGGTAAGCATCTTCGTAATATAATTAAACAATTAAAAAATTAATATTTTTGTAATTAATTGAATTATTCATCGATGAATTGAATAAATGATATTATAGTGATAATGATTTTAAATTTTGTATTTTAATTAAAAAAATTGGCAAAATTATAGAGATGTAGTAACAATGGATGAAGCTGGTATTATTGATGTTATTACTAATAAAGAAGATTTAATTGTGGATAATTCTGGACAACTTATCGAACATTGGCTTCTTGAAAAGGCATTATGCGCTCATAATGAGGTCAAAGGGGCACAGGTGAGTTTTTCTTTCACTAATTCATATTTCGTGAATATAAAATTTCACAAAATAACTCTTAATACATCATAAAAATATTTGCTGATATTGAAATTTTTCAATGATATCTGATACTCTTTAAATTTGTTTATAAATTAAATTCTTTGTTTTTTTAAAAAAGATTGGAAGAGAAAAAAAGGAATTGTGTTTGTTTAAATTTTTAAAAAAATTTAGTAATATTAAAAAAATGGAAAATTATTATGATATATTAATTAGATATTGATAATGACTATTTCAAATGATTTGTGTCTTTTAGGTTTTTTAAATTCGATTTATTTTCATACTCATTTTTAATTTCAAATATTTCAATGTATAGAAAAATGATAATTTTAAACTTCTTCATTTTTCCAACACAATAGTATTACAAAAGTAATTGTTATAAATATCAACGATAATTTAATTAATATAGTACAATTATAAGTAATTGATAATTTAATTATAAAATATGGTACAATTATTGTAACCCTAAAAGCTTTCAAAAAATGATTGGATAAAATTAAAATAATCATGTTGAATTATTATTGAGGGCTAATTTTATGCTTTGTCAGTTTGTTGTCAAAAAAAATGATACACTAAAATTATATTATCATTTAATTATTAAGTTATCAAATTATCAGACATCATCACAAATGATAATTTAATTATAAAATATGGTACAACTATTGTAACCCTAAAAGCGTTCAAAAAATGATTAGATAAAATTGAAGTAATCATGTTGAATTATCATTGAGGATTAATTTTATGCTTTATCAATTTGTTGTCAGAAAAAAATGATGCACTAAAATTATGTTATCATCAAATTATTGAGTTATCAAATTATCGAACATTATCATTCAATTGTTTCAGATAGTTGCACTCAACAAAAAACTTCCATTATATGCATTTATTGTTTTAAAAAATTCTCAAGCTAATGTGGATACTGTACTTACAGATTTAATTGCTTTATGCAAAAATAATAAGGTTTGTTTATTTTTTACTTTTATTTTTCATATAAAAATAGAACGAAATTTTAATAAAGAATTTAAATATTTAAATTAAAATTTTTTTTTACAAAAATTATTTGTAATATAAATATGATAGAATTTTCGTATCCGATAGAAATGAAAAATTGTAATCATAAAAATTTTAAAACCATTAAAATTATAATTTTGTATAGCATTTATGATCATTAATTCATTTTTATCTATAATAAAAAATAATAGTGCCAATTTTAGTAGTATTATTTATATCGTAAAATTTTTTGAACTTTTATACACATATGTGTTTATAATTAAAGTAAGGAATTTAGTGAGGCACTTAGTGCGGTTAGTTGTACGGGTACTTAATACAGGTAACGCATAATTATACTCTCGTTAAAATAAGTAAAATTTGCATAATTAAATGATTTTTAATTGAATGCTATGAAAAAAGAAAAAAAAGCGAAATTTTATAGTTATTATAATTGTAATAAATAAAATCATCTTGTTAATAATAATAATTTTTTTCTTTGTTACTATAATTACGATAATTTAAAAATTTCTTAATTATGCATTTTTTGCAAAAGTTCAATTTTTACTAATATGTGTAAACATTAATGAATTTTTACAATTTATATCAACGAAAAATAAATTTAAGGAAAAAGAACAAAAAATGAATATTTGAGAAAAAGAGAAAGAAATTAACAAATATTAAAATAATTTCAAAAAATTAAAACAAAGGCAAATTCATAAAAATAAGTAATTATTAAGCTATGCTACAACGATCCCTCAATTTTTCAACATATTCGATATTCTCACATTTATATAATAATAACACATTTCGTTGAGAGTTATATTAATCCAATTGGCTTTAAAATTTCGATTTATGAATGATGGAATGGAACACTATATTTAAGCATTAGATTAAAAATTTTTGCTAACGCTAGCTGTAATTATGTTTCGCTCTCGGCTTATTCCAATTATATTATCATGATTTTATTTCATCAATAGCTCAATGTTAATAGTCATTATTATTATTATTATTATTATTATTACTATTATTGCTGTTGTTGTTGAAAATTTAAAGCTTAAAATTTTAGTTATAATGTGGCTTTACTGGCAATTGGACATCTGTCATTATCTCATTCCATTTCTTTTGTTTGCTGTTTTTTTCTCCTTTTTTTCCTTATGCAATTATTATTTTAAAAAATTTTGCTTTTAGAAAAATTGAACCAACCGAAAAAATTTATGACAAAAGTGGAAATTAAACAAATTTTCAAATTTTGCAGAAAATTTTTATTAGATAAGTTGAATTTTAGAAAAGTAAAAGAATTAGAATTATGTGAAATGTTAAATTTTCCTAAAAATTTTTCTAAGATAAATTGAATTGAAAATAATTGAGGGAAATTATAAATAATCAAAATATCAAATTTTAATTTATTTCTAAATCAAATTTATGTCAATTTATCTTTTTTTTGAGAAAGTTTTTTTCCCAAAATTTTCACCGTACTTTATTTTTCAATTTTGATCCATAAGATCTGTATGCTCTACTGTAGTATACAGTATCCAATCTGTCGTCATTCAGTCTTTTCTTGTTTTCATTGCGCTATATTATATTATTTTTTAATTTTGATCTACAAGATTTGTATGCTCATTACCGTAATACACAGTATCCAATCTATCATCATTCAAATTCGTTCAGTCTTTTCTTGCTTTATTAAAGTAGTTTTAATTTTTTCAATGCCATTGTGACAAAATTACAAAACAAATGATGGTTCCGGAAAAAAATGCTGAAGTCAAGAAAAAGAAGAGTAGAAGCATTAATGATCAGTTATTGAAAATTAACACTGACCAAATGACCAATTCGTTTTATAACTACACAAAAAAGTTGCTATAGGGATTTAATGTTAACGCTATCATCTAATATTTAAAGCATGATAAAGAGATAAAAGAAAATCAATAAATGCATCTTCATTAGATGACCAATTATTAAAAGCGCCAAAGTTCATTTTAAATTGTCAATCAATCATTTTCTCCGTATTTCATCCAAATATGTTGAATTAATTTTGTGATTATTTGTTAACTATTCAAATAAGCTATTAATTTGAAACTTTCTAAACTTTTATTTTAAAAGAATAATTTGCTATTAATTAATTGTTGCATAAAACTTTTTTAAATTTTAATTAAAATATTATATCAAAATAATAATATAGTTAATAAAATTGTTGGATCATCAAAATTTTTGTTTGCCAAAAAATGGCCTTATTCTTTTCTATAAATAATTAATAGCTTTAATGTTTCAAAAGTTTATTTTTCGTTTTTAACTTTATCTCAACTATCGTATCCGCGTTGATCAAAACATTTTATTACCTCCAATTAGTATATCAGTTATTAAATTCCAATGCATAGTATTTTCTTTTTAATTTGAATACATAAATAATCGATGTTATCATTTTTTATTGATAAAATATATTAACTTTTATGATTCCTTTTTCTTTTTCGAATTCTGATTAATAAGATTGAATATATTTCAAATTATTTAAATGATATTAAAAAATTTTTTTTGAACTTTAACTTCTTAAGATGTATAATTTAGGATTATTTAATTACTATTTAGAATTTTGTTTTTCAATTTTAACTATTAAGAATGAGTACATTTAAATTTATTTGAGTATCATTTAAAATTTCTTTCTTTTTTTTAATTTTAATTCTTTAGGAATCTTGAGGATGGATATATATTGGGGTCATTTGATTGACACTTTTCATTATCACTTAAATTTCACATCCCTGTGAAATTTATAACAATTTAAAATTTACAACTATCCGAAAATGCAATTACATTAATAGCGTTAAGCTTAATATCTTAGAAGATCTTATATACCTATTTTCTTGTTTTGCTAGGCACATCTGCAACTATCAGTTATTTAAATTGCCCGTGGGAGATGAAGAGAGAATATGGAAGAGGAGAGGAAATGTTATGGCATGAAATGACTAAATGACTGATTAGCATTTAGGATTTTCGCCATGATTTAGGCCAAATATATGGGATAAAAATATTGCTAGGCTTTTAAATGAATCCATTATTTGATGTTCTAACATATGTCTTGCGGGTAGCTTTAATAGAATTATCAGTTGCATTATCATAAATTATAAGAGGGTGATTAATTTTATTTTATTAAGATAAATTATTGTTAATAAATTTCTGGAAAAAAAGAGGCCTGGCAAATACATAAAAAGTTGTAATTAATAATAGAAAAAAAGATTTAAAATGAAAAATGATAAATTTAAACAATAATTTATTATGATTATTATATATTATGATTATTACATATGATTATTATATATTATAGTTATTAATAATAGGAAAAAATAAGAGATTTAAATGAAAAATAATAGGTTTAATCAATAATTTATGATTATTATATATTATAGTTATAGTTTGTATTTTAACTATTATGGTTATAGTTTTTACAGTTTGTTTTTATTTTATCGAATTGACAATTTTTAATCAGGTAATTAATCTTTATTTTTATTTCATTAAAATAATATATTCAAATAATATATTTTTGCAAGTAATTATTCATTCATACATTTACTCTTAACGGATAATAAACAAACAACAAACAATAATGATAATAACAATAGTGACCTGAAATAAATAATTGAATAATTTATTTTGAAGCATTTACTTGTTGTCCCAAAGGATGTAAAATAGGACTAAATCATAATTAGATTAATTCCGATTACGTTTATTTCATTTTTACAACTAATAGTGTGTTTTGAACAAATTAGAATTTAAATCTCTCTCACACTAATTTGTAATAATTTCAATCACTCTAATTAATTAATTAATGTTTGATGAGATAAGAAAAAATGACACACATACATATATGTATCGTTCATAGTTTCATGCTATATTTAGCATTTTTATATACCATGAAATATTTATTTGAATTTAATTAGATTAATTTAATATTGAAAGATTACTAATAGTTTTGAATTGATAATTTATTAATTGCAACCTTCTTATAAGTATCGCTGCAATTATTATCATTTAAACTTTTCTTTTCATTTTTCATTTTAAATTTGGAAATATTCTTTTTTAAATTTTATCATTATTAACTTTTTAATAACTATATTACTACGCTATCGAATATTTACTATTCTATCCCATAATAAAGTATAATTAATATCCTAAATGAAATATTAAAAATAAAATTGGTAAGGTAACAGAAGCATTTCAATTTCAAATATGAATTTCTAATTTAATTTTTTAATTTAATGCTTTTTTCATTTTTTATTTATTTAGTCCCTTTTGGGAATTTTATCATCGTTTTATGAAAGCAAAAATGGATAGAAGAAAATGGATGTTTGAGTTTGACAAGCAATCGCTATTTTGTTATCAATATTTAAGTATATATTATAAATATAGATATATGCACACACACACATGCACACATACAGATGAAGAAAAGAAAACATATAGGATTGATGTATTAAAATAATGATATCATACCTGTATCATATGATGACTAATTGATATATCAAAATGATGAAAATGAAATTTAGTTGTTTGAAGAAAAATTTAACCAATCATACTCTGACATGTCAAACATCATATCATCATGTGAAAAGTTATCTGTCGTTAATACATCTTGTTTTTAATATTATCAAAGTTTAAATAGCCATCATGTGATACATAAAACTACATTTGTGATATCTCATCCTAGCAAAACAAATAATTCTTCCCAAGCATATATTGCATTGATAATATTCCGGGATTTTCATCTTTGACACCGCACATCACATTTCCGGATTCATTTACTGTTCGCCATTGTGAAAATATCATATCCTTCAGAAGTTAATAAAGTGAAATATTTTGTTCATTTACTTTTAATTTATTTGTTCAGTCTTATTTTTCTAGTTATTTATTTGTTTACTGTCTTTTCTCAAATTAGTTGTTTGTTCTACCATAATGTTTAAAAGTGTGTCAACTAGAGAAAAGTATAGGCGCAAATTGAAGGAACTCTTGGAAATTATCGTTCCTCGTCCCTTCCAAAAAAAAATCTTTACAAAGAGAATAATCTGAGAGATATATTTATAGCTTACTAAATTAAATATAACTTTTCAAAAGTGATCGAATCGTAATCAATCAAGAAATAGTAATTTAAATTTTAATTAATATTATAATAAAAGTAATCCATTCTTTATAACTAAAAAATTTTCTATTTTTTTTCCAAATATTTTAATCTAATAATTATGAAATAGTAATTGATAATAATCTAATAATTATAAAATAGTTAATGATAGTATCGAATTTTGATAAGTAATACAGCGATAAGCGGGAATAAAATATGCAACGAATTTTCAAATAAAATTTAAATTAATATAAAATAGTAATTGATAATAATCTAACAATTATAAAATAGTTAATGATAATATCGAATTTTGATAAGTAATACACTGATAAGTGGGAATGAAATATGCAACGAATTTTCAAATAAAATTTAAATCGGTATATAAAAAGAAATTTCAGCTAAATGTGCCGGCGAAATTTGCAATTGTCGATGATTTCCCACGAATAAATACCAAAATACAAAAATATCGAATGCGACAAATGCTGGAAAATGATGAAATACAATTGAAACCGTAAAAAATCAGGAATAATTTTTTATTCTTCTTTTTTGTAGTTATTAATAATTTGTCAAATATTTTCAACTTTTAATAATTCTCTTCACTCATATATTATCATTGATCACTTTTTGTATTTTCTCTAAAAATTATAAAATTTGAATAACAAAAAGAAGATCTTAAAACAAAAATACTATTATACCGATCCTTGTGAAATATTTGGCAATAGAAATATTTTAATTAAATAATTCTGAATAATATTTAAATGAAGTATTTTCATTACCAATTTTTGTAATGGAATTAAATATCGATCTTTTTTTTTCGAGCATCTGAATTGGATCATAATTATTTTGTTTTTATATTTGATTGTTGTTGTTTTTGAAAAACAAATAGATGAATTATAAAATTATGTTTGAAAAAATAATTAAATTAGAAATTAATGAATTTAATAATTTAAATGATTAATTATGAATAATTGAAAATGATTTGAATATTTTTCAAATAATTTAATTGTCTTTTTTCATTAGTGATATAATTTCCATTTGAAATATTATATCTCAATAATGAATATGTTTATTGTTTTTGTAACATTAAAATATCCAAAAAGAAGTTTAATAAGACCTGAATATTAGAACCATAACTTCTCATTCTCCAATATCATTATTACATATTATAAAAAGCATATAATTTAAATTTTCAACACTTCAAAAAAAATAGCGACTGATTCAATTATCATCTGCAAATGACAAAATATAAAAATTTCCAAACAAATCATTTTATTGCTTCTTTTTTTTATAATTTAAATATGAGAAGAAATAAATGAAATGGATTTAAGTAATTAATTATATGTATCAAATGGAAGAGATAGAAAATTTTCATTGGGAACATTTTTTTCGCTTTAAATTTTGTGCCTAGAAAATTTTCTACGTTTCTTTAATTCAAACATACTTATTGACAATAATAATTAATTTTTAATATTTTCATCGTTAATTTCGTTTTATTGTTTTTCTTTGAAGGAATAATTAAATGAGATTCTCTTTTTAATATTTCAAATTCAATTTGTTTGATTTAAAAAAATTGAAAAATTAAATTTTGAACGATGAAATATTAATTTCATTATCACTTTTTGTTTTCTTAAAGATTTGTTTTATAATATTATGAAAGTAAATGAAAATAAAATAATGGTATCACGTAATATTTCCGATATATGCAATCTCATTACACCTGATCCGGCAATTTCTTTATGCCGAATTTTCCTCTCATTTTGATTTGATATATCTTTTATATTGGTATATTCCATCGTTTCATTCACTATATCATCAGTTGATAAAATTTCGGTTGTTTTTATTGGTTCTTCCATTTCCGGATCATAATCATCTTGCTCATTTGGAAGATTTTGATTGATATCATTGAAATCAATTGGAATGGATGGAGATGTTACAGTGTGATCTAAAAAAAAAAGAAATGCAATACTTAAATTTAAAATGAAATTTGAATAACAAATAAATATATAAAGATATATGTTACTTCTTTAAGAAAGCAAAAAATTAACTATAACTTTAATTTCTAGTAATTAAAATAATTTTAATTTCAATATTAATCCTTTTAAAAATTCATTAAGATTATATACAATTGTAAATTTTTTTTTGTAAATTTCATTATTAATTATTAATTATTAATTATTACCTTTTGTTGCAATTTTTTGATCATCCATTTCAAATATGTATACAGTTGATTTATTTTTAACATTTTCCGTAACATATTTTGCAGTACTGGTTTTAATCGAAGAAATTGTTTCAGTTGTAAATTCTTCATCATAATCATCAATATCTAAAGATTGAAATCTATTCCAATATTATCATTATTATTATTTTTCCTTTAATTCCGATTAATTTTTAATTAATTGATTTTAATTATTTGTTATATTCCTATTTAATATTCTTCAAATATATTCGTACAATGAATGTTTATAAGAATATTTATTTAAAAATATTCAAATAATCTTTTTATTTCTTTATTAAAGTAATACAATTTTTAATCATTTGATAAAATTAAATTTTTTGTTTTTGTTTTTTGAAAAGATTTGTTTATTATTCAAATTTGTTTATTATTTAAATTTGTTTATTTGTTTGTTATTTAAATTTTTATCCTAAAAAAGTAACAGAGAAAAAGAGAAAGAAAAATTACAAACAATTTCAAATTTTGTTTTCTTGTTTTTCCATATCTTTTCCTCTCACGATGGTTAAAAATTGAAATTTTAATTGTTATAATTATGCGAAATAAGTTTGTTAACTATAAATAAATAATAAACAATGTTAGTTTATCGAGTATAAAGAGAAATTTTTCTTCTGAATAAGAATTAAAAAATAAATTAAACAGTTTTTAAAAATTAAAAATAATAAAAAATTTGGTAAAAAAAAGTTATCGTTGTAAAATTAATCGCAATAAAATACTTAATCATTGTAAAGTAATTATTATTTTTTAATAATAACATTTGATCATTTGTAAAATTTTCATACTATTATTTATTTGAAGCAAAATAATCATAATAAATCGTTGTGTAATAATTATTATTGTACAAAGATTTATTATGATTATTTTTTAAACATACAAAATAATAAATCTTTATATATATTAATTATTATGCAAAGAGTAAGGTAATTGTAGTAGAAACTTTTTGATAATAATTTCCGATACTTTATGCTTTTTAAATTAGACTAAAATATTTTGGTAGCATAGAAATAGTGATAGGAAAATGATAGTGGAAAGTTAACTATGCACATATAAAAGTTAAGAAAATATTTTCGTTAATTATGCCGAAATCTATTTTTAATAAATAATTTCAAAGTATATTTGTTAAATTTGTCATATTGAAATTATTTAAAGAAATCAAATTAAATTTAATATAAAAATTTTCTGTTACTATCATAAAGAATTTTCAACCATCAAATTATCGTCGCATGCTATAAATTTGTTGTTCCAAAGTTGTCATTTAGACTGTTTGATTAATTTTAAAATTAAATTTTACTTTTCATTATAAATACAATTAATTGACATTATTTTAGTAATTACAAATTTCAGAGTAATTATAATGTATTAAAATTCTAAATGAAAAGTTTAATTTAATTTGAATAAATTATATGTTAAATTTAAAAATAAAAATTTATTCAAATATGACAAAAAAAATTTAATTTATAAAAGAAGTATTTTATTGTCTTTTCTTTCTTTCTATTTGTTTTAAATTATTTAATTATTTTATGAAAGACTTTCAATTAACAATTATTATTTTCCTTTCTTTTAATTTCAGTTTTTTTTTTCACAAATAATTATAATTTTATAAATTATTTAATAATAATTTAAAATTGCAAAAAATTAAAAAATAAAAATGATTGTTGACAGTCAGTGAACCTGATGTTTCGATATCATCAATAACTTCATCGAGTAACGTTGCATCATTGGTTTTGAATGCATCATATAATTTGATCATATTTTGCGGATTGTTACAATTACTTTGACCATAACACCAACATCGAACACCTCCGGATAATTTCTTTATGCAACCTGATCGATCTAAAAATTTCATAAAAAATAATTTATTCAGGAAAAACATAAAATTTGATGATTATGTTATAATTTAATGATTATATTATAATTGTTTGAACATAACTATTTAATGTGTAAATTAAATTAATATAAGTAATTTTATTTACAGATTTCTTTGGAAAATTATAATCTAACAATAATAGTGATTGTAATAATATTGTAATTACGATAGTAAATAACATTACCTTCTCAATAAGCAATAATAATGAATAGAAACAATAGTAAATAATATTACCATTAATAAACGATAAGCAATAATAAGGAATGCATATCATAATTAATTATTAAATTATCATTATTATTGATAGATTAATAGTGATATAATATATTTATTCTATTATCGATTTCATGAAATTAGTAGCATCAAGTTCGATAAAAATGATAAATTTTGATATCAAATAAAAATACACCTTTTTCATTCCTTCTTAATTTGCTCCTTAGATTTTATTTTATCTTTTGTTTTAATAAATGATTTCGTATCATCAAATATGCAAATAATTAGCAAGTATTGGGATAATCATTAAGATTCAAAAACAATAAATGATATGTTGCGGTAAATTTATAGCATATCACAAGATCAAATTATTAGCAAATTTAATTCAAATTTTTTTTCGTTTAGTTAAATTATCAATTAATAATTTGATTATTTAAACACTTTATCAATTAATAATTTGATTATTTAAACACTTTATTAATTAATAATTTGATTATTTAAACACTTTATTAATTAATAATTTGATTATTTAAATACTTTATATAAAATGAAAACATATAATATAAATTAAATGAAAAATATTTATGCAATTGTAAAAAATTTTTAATTCAGTAATTGAAAGAAAATTAAAAGAATTTCATTTGATCAATTGTATTTAACTATAATTTACTTTGACTAAACAAGTATATAAATATATTAATTTATATAATTTTTTCTGACTTGCAATTTCAAAACAACTATCTTTAACTTCCTTTTAAAACATCAGATTATTGTTATTATTTATTATTATTATTATTATTACTATTATTGTTGTTATCAGTATT